TACAGAACTGGGTATAGTTTGTTGAACTAACTATGAAGCGTACTTCTGCCTGGAACGTTCCTCCTCTCAAACTCTGAAGAAGCCTTTAAGGCTCTGCTCAGGTGTCTCCTATTCTATGAAGCCTTCGCCTTCCCTGGCCCACGTAGGCAGAGTTCTCATTGAATTGCCCATTAGCCTTACACATAAATCAATTACGATCTTTAACGTGAATTAAGATTATTTTTTTCTTTCTCTCTTACATATTGGTTTTCCAAACACTGTGAGCTCCCTGAAGGCAGGCACGTGGCATATTCATTTTTGGCTTTTTGGATGTTTAGTACTGTGCTTGGAGTTGGGTGGCTTTTCAATAAATGTATGTAAAATTTAAGACCGATCTATTGCTATTCTTGGAATTCACAATATTCCAAGAAGATTATTTAACCTTCTTCATAAGTTTCTCTTACATGGGGGAAAAGACTGTTTAAGACTATAAAAAATGCACTAAAATAAGGTGAAGCAGGTTTTTCCTATTCTTTAGGTAGCGGGACAAGAAAGAACGGAAAAGTATTTCATTTTGTTAGTTTTTCACATGCAGGTTAAAACATCATTAGAGTAAGACTGGTTACAGATAAGCTGATATACAGCAGAGTTGATTGACTGTAAGTTAAACAAAGGGAAGTTTAAGGAAGGGCTCACTTGCCCACTTCTTTTTACGCTTTGTTTCTGCATAAAGCAAAAGGAGGCCAACAAGGATGGATTCAAGGAAGCCTCTGATTGAGAATCGCTGTGAGGATGACTCAAGCTCTTTTCTCTGCTATGAAATACTTCAGGAGCCAAGAGGAAGTAAATGAAAAAAGCCACCAACATTTGTCTTAGAAACCTCTAAAAATGAGTAGTCTTTTAAAAGAGTAAGTTTTATTGGAAACGGCCATTTCTATCTGCTCTGGCTTTGTACTCGTCAAGCCGTGGTTTCGTGTCTGCCTGTGCGTGCGAGGAGCTCTCCAAATAGTGTTAGTCCGCTTAGTTTTGTTTTCTTCAAGTTTTGGATACTTCGCAGCAATGACGGAAAACAGGATTGTTTGGCGCCGCACTCCTGGTCAGGCCCTCTCGACCGCAGTGGGTGGGCAGGACGATGGGAGCAGAGATCCACGGCTGCTCTGTTGCGCCGCGCGAGAAACGACTTGGAGATGCAGGAGCCACCCCGCGACACTGGCGCCACAAGAAAGGGCAATTGTCCAGAGATGAAGTCCTGCGACAGAGAGGACGTTTGCATTACGACTGATAAACCCGCATCTCTACACGGTTCAGATCCGCCAGCAAGTAATCAGCACTGCTGTGTACCAGGAGCACTGGGAACCAGGCAAGGCCTGCGTCTCTGTCTTAGGTGCTGTGATTACAATATGAAAACGTATTCATTATCCAGTTGAACCAGAGTCAACGATGATTACAAACATCTGTATGCAGAAAATTAAATTCAGAAATCTATTCCTTATGTTTTTTTTTCTTTTTTTTTTTTTGAGACAGTCTTCACTCTCTTGCCTGGGCTAGAGTGCCGTGGCGTCAGCCTAGCTCACAGCAACCTCAAACTCCTGGGCTCAAGCGATCCTCCTGCCTCAGCCTCC